CAGCGCTTTTACATATATATATTGTACATTCACGACAGTCCCTAACCCTCAAGGGGCGTACAATCTAAGGTCTCTAACTTATATTCATACATACACAAACTAGGGCCAATTTAGACAGGATCCAATTAACCTACCAGCATGTTTTCTTTTTGGAGTGTGGGAGGAAACCGGAGTACCCGGAGGAAACCCACGCAGGCACAGGGAGAACATGCAAACTCCAGGCAGGTGGGGACGTGGCTGGGATTCGAACCAACGACTCTAGTACTGCCAGGCGGAGCAATAAGTTCATACGATATCATCCATGTCACACCACTGAGGCTAATCAGTTAATCCTGCTGGTACTTGTCCTAGAATACTTTTCTGTTATACACTGTTAGGCAGAAAAAGAAGATTTCTATATTCCAGAGAGGAGTATGGAAATAAATGGAATGACTTTGTGATTGGAAAAGAAAGTAACAGAACACTTTTGTTTAGGAGTGCCACCTCATCCCTTTAAACCCAAATACATATGAATTACACAGGTTCTGGGGCTGATTAATGTGCTAATTAAGCTCACTTAGAGCCTTGTCTGCAGGACATAATCCTCAGATGATTGAATGCATTAATATGTATTCAGGTTTATAGGGGTGAGGTAGCAACCCTACTTCTGTTACATGTATGTCAGTACAGCAGGACATCTGAGGAAGCATGGATAGCAGGACCCCCCAATAAGGACAGGTCAGGGGTCAGGTCCTCACTGCCTGCACACGCTGGAACCTGTAGTTCTCCAAAGTGTTGCCATTCACACAGCACAGCGCCGCTTCATTTTCTAACAGAAGCTTCCCCTAGCTCTGTAGAGGCTTAGTCTTCAATGTCTATCCCCAGGAATCCACCTACCCCTTGTGTGTATATTCCGCCCCTCTTACTGAGCTGTGGCCGCACTTACCTGCTCTCTCCTTTCTTTTCTCCTACTTCCTTGTTCTAAGAAATTACAGCAGTCTGGCGCGTCAGCTGAGACACTGCGACACCCAGTGGTCGGAGGAATTAATACACCCATCCCATGACTGCATCCCTATCCCATGACAGCTTGGATCACAAGCAGCAGAGCTAACTTCAAGTCCTCATGCACATGGACGTTGATACAGTAGCTGTGTTTGGCTTCTGGCGTTTTTTTCTACAGCCAGTAAACCCCCCAGCATGTTATCCTATGTGTCCATGCCCACATAAACTGTAATCAGCGTTTTTTGGCTGAAAAAAAAAAACGGGACTAGTGGGTTTCTAGTGGAGTTTTTTTAGCTATAAAAACGCCATGACGCTGAAAAACGCGGCAAAACTGAAAGGCTCCATGTACACTGGGCGTTTTGATAGCACTGATAACGTAAGCTTTGTAAAGTCACGTTGAGTTTTTCAGCTTTTTCTAACGATTTGCATTAGCGTTTAGCGCCGTTTGGTCAAAAAAAGTTTGAGTTTTACCGCGTTTTGCCACGTTAGAGCGATTTTACAGCTAAAAAACTCCTCTAGAATCCCACTAGCTCTGGGTTTTTTCTCCAGCCAACAAACGCTGATTACAGTCTGTGTGAGTGGACACATAGGATAACATGCTGGGGAGTTTACTGGCTGTAGGAAAAAGCTTCAAAAACCAAAAACAGCCGCTGTAAAAATGTCCAGTGTGCATGAGGACTTAGTATAAAACGCAGCAAACCAGCGTTTTTGGACTTTTTTGAGCAGAAAAAAAAAAACACATATGCATAAAAAGTGACAAAATGCCCCTAAACGATAATGCAGAAACACTACAAAATGCTGAAAAACTCATGTTTTTAACGTGACTTTACACAGCTAACATTACCATCGTTATTAAAACGCCCAGTGTGCAGGGAGACTAAATGGCAGTGTGGGCTACCATGATGTTAGACTACATGTAGCAGTTTACAATGTGAACATGGCATGAGAAAAAAAAAAAAAGTCAAAAATGTTAATATAGTATTTAAAGTGTTACTAGGACCCTGCATTCACTATATCTGGTCTCCCACAATACAAACAACATGGAAATACAGTTATTTTAGTAAATATAAACTGCTAAATACCTTTTCTCATCATCAGTTAGAGCAGTCTTGTGACTTCTATCAGTGTCCAGCTGAGCACTGGTTAAAGCTTGCAGGAGGAGTTTTCCATCTCCTCTGACTGTCTTATGAGGCTGCAGGACCCCAGAACCTTGGTTTGGACAGTGCTGATTGGCCCTGTGCTGATCACACATGATCTCTCCAAAAGAAAAAAAAAAAACCTCTCTAGCAATACACACCAAACTGAGCATGTGCAGAGTGACTCCTAGAGCTCTGTACTATCAGAAAATGGTAAAAGTAGACGGAGAGGAGGATCAGAGAAGACACGATTAAACAGCCTTTTTACACAACAATAATCCCTTAGGTTATTATAACAAGCATGCAGTACTGCATACACAGATTGATTTTACTGTTGTGGGCTTAGTAACACTTTAACCACTTGCCTACCAGGCACTTATACCCCCTTATTTACCAGGCCAATTTTCAGCTTTCAGCGCTGCCGCTCTTTGATTGACAATTGCGCGGTCATGCAACATTGTACCCATATGAAATTTTGATCATTTTTTTCTCACAAATAGAGCTTTCTTTTGGTGGTATTTAATCACCACTGGGCGCTTTACTTTTTGCGCTATAAATAAAAAATTGCCAAAAATTTGAAAAAAAAAAAAAAAAAAGTTTCTTTGTTTGTATTATAAAATTTTTCAAACAGGTAATTTTTCTCCTTCACTGATGTGCGTTGATGAGGCAGCACTGATGGACACTGATAGGCGGCACTGATGGGCACTGATAGGCAGCACTAAAGGGCACTGATAGGCAGTACTAATGAGGTGGCACGGATAGACGGCACTGATAGACAGCACTAATGAGGTGTCACGCATAGGCGGCACTAATATGCAGCACTGATAGGCGGAACTGATAGGTGACACTGATGATGGGTACTGATAGATGGCACTGACTGGCATCACTGCTGGGCACTGACTGGCGGCACTGACTGGCACAACCGCTGGGCACTGACTGGTGGCACTGACTGGCAGCACTGCTGGGCTGCACTGGTGGGTGGCACTGGTGGGCAGCACTGGTGGGTGGGCAGCAGGTGGTGGGGTGGGCACAGGTGGGTGGCACTGGTGGGCACAGGTGGGTGGGCACAGGTGGGTGGCACTGCTGGGCACAGGTAGGTGGCACTTCTGGGCACAGGTGTGTGACATTGCAGAGTGGCACAGGTGGGTGCACTGCTGGGCACAGGTGGGTGCACTGCTGGGCACAGGTGGGCGGAGCTAGTGGGCGCACTGCTGGGCACAGGTGGGCGGAACTTGCGGGTGGCACTGCTGGGCACCGATCATCAGGGCACTGATCATCAGTGCCCTGATGATCGGTGCCGATCCCCGCTCTGACAACTGCCGGTTCTCGGCAGTACTTTCCTCACGATCTGACAGCGTGAGGAAAGTGCAGCCGAGAACCGGCACTTGCATTTCCCTCTGATCAGCGTGTCATTGGACACCGCTGATCAGGTGGTAAAAGGCCGCTGTGATTGGCCTTTTACCACATCACGTGATCAGCTGTGTCCGTAGGGGATCCCCAGGTCATCAGGAGTAGTGTTCCCATTGGAAGATTTCACCTCTATTGCTTTTCTAGGGACAACACAAAATTTTGGATTTTGTTTTACATAGAGCCTGGGTTCACATTGATGCGGTGCGGAATTCGCAGCGTTTTCTGTACGAATTCCGCACCACTTCACAATCACACCTCATTCATGTGAAGCAATGAATGAGAATGAATAGAGTGTAGGCAATGCAAACAGGCACTGAGAGTTCTGTGTTCAGGGATGGTTAGCAATCGCACATACAGTATATGTACTGTGCCAACTGAACCATGCCTGACATTAAGTATTGAACTAAGCCCTAATTGTAAATCATCTTTGGCAAATAACAAATCTATACTGGACAAGGGTGCGTTTCCCTACGCACCATCTGGCCAATTAATAAATCTAAAACATATAACCTTTATTAAAATATATAAAAAATGTATGCTCAGCTGTAATTAATGCCTATTAGAGAGGAATGTACTGAGCACAAAAATATGACTGGATACCATTGCAATTATTTACCTTACATTCTCTCATGGATAAGCCCCATACATCACCCTATCCAGACAAAAATACCTCATTGTCTTGAGGAATACAAATGATGCAAACGCAGTACAGACCTCTCCAAAAAAAAGGGGGGAGAGGAGTGAATACCATATGCATTCAAAAAGTGCTCCCAAAGAAAGACCCAAAGAAAAAAAACTATACATGTTTTGCTCCAAAAAACAGAGATTTGTCAGGAGTATAAAGAATTAAAACAGCTCACATAGTGGCTGGAAGTTGTGCCTAGCTACACATGGTGCATTTTTGTCTGGACATGGTGATGTATGGGGCTTATCCATGGGAGGCAGACATTTAAGCCCGTGGATGAGTGTACCCATATTACATATCTGTAGCAAGATAGATTATTGTCCATGGGGTAACTCCATTTCCTTAACCACTTGCCTACCGGGCACTTATACCCCCTTCCTTACCAGGCCAATTTTCAGCTTTTAGCGCTGTCACACTTTGAATGACAATTGCGTGGTCATGCAACATTGTACTCATATGAAATTTTTATCATTTTTTTCACACAAATAGAGCTTTCTTTGGTGGTATTTACTCGCTGTTGGGTGTTTTATTTTTTGCGCTATAAACAAAAAAAGAGGAAAAAAAAAAACAAAAAAAAAGTTTCTTTGTTTCTATTATAAAATTTTGCAAATAGGTAATTTTTCTCTCCTTCACTGATGTGCACTGATGAGGCTGCACTGATAGGCAGCACTGGTGGGCACTGATAGGCAGCACTGATGGGTACTGATAGGCGACACTGATAGGCAGCACTAATGAGGTGGCACTGATAGGTGGCACTGATGAACTGGCACTGATGATGGGTGCTGATAGTCGGCACTGACTGGCGGCACTGCTGGGTGGCACTGCTGGTCTGCACTGATGGGCATTGGTGGGCACTGATGGGCACAGGTGGGTGGCACTGATGGGCACAGGTGGGCGGCAATGCTGGGTGGCACTGCTAGGCACCGATCATCAGGGCACTGATGATCAGTGCCCTGATGATCGGTGCCGATCCCTGCTCTGACGTCTGCCTGTTCTCGGCAGTACTTTTTCCTCACGCGCTGACAGCGTGAGCAAAGTGCAGCTGAGAACCGCCAATTGCATTTCTCGTTGATCAGCGTGTCATTGGAAACGGCTGATCACGTGGTAAAAGGCCGCTGTGTTTGGCTTTTTATCACATCACGTGATCAGCTGTGTCCATAGGACACAGCGATCACGGAGATCGCCAGGTGCGCGCCCCCGAGGGTGTGCAGGAGAACGCTTTCTGGGAGGACGTCATATGTCGGCCTCCCAGAACTGGATGGCCGAAGTGCAGCCATCATTCGGCTACCTGCGGTCGGCAACTAGTTAATAGACATTATATATTCAAGCTGATCAGCATATGATCAAACTACAGTTTCTCTTTTTATGCCATCACTTCATCTAAAAGGTATGGTATTTGATTTGGTTTAGTGTTAATAACCATTTGGATATAAGGTAAATAATTGCAATGGAATCCAGTCATATTTTTGTGCGCAGTACAATCCTCTCTAATAGGCATTAATTACAGCTGAGCATACATTTTTTATATATTTGAATAAAAGGTTATATATTTTAGATTCATCAATTGGCTAGATGGTGCGTAGGGAAACGCACCCTCATCCAGTATAGATATGCCTGACATTAAAGCCTCATGCACACAGGGCATATTTGTAGCCACTTTTATGGGCATCAGGTGTTTTTTTTTTTACTGCTTCCAAACGGCCCTCCATGTTATCCTATGTGTCCATGCACACATAGATTTTTAGAAGCATTTAGTAGCAGTAGCAGCAGGAAAAAAAAAAAACCAGGCCCAGTGTGTCCAGGAGCAGCAGCGTTGTGGCAGAAAAAAACGATTAATGCGTGTATACTTGTCTAAAGCCCCTAAACGCATGTTAACGCTAGATGTAGTGTTGATTCATTTCAAAGGCCAGAATAAATGATTATTCTGGCCAATTAAATTAATCAATGCCCAAGCGCTTGACACTTGCAAAGGCTCCTAAATGCTTGTAAAAGCGTTAGACACTTTGACAAGCGTCAGGCTGCCAAATGGAGGGGCATTTTTAAAACATCCTCTGTGCATGTATGCTGAACTGCGCACTAGCATAGTACCAAACGATCACACTAGTCAAAATAACCAGACTTAAATTTAGCTAACTTAACCCATTTTGCCATGCTTGCATTTTTTTGCACACATTTAAAAAAAATTATTTTGAGCCTGAAGCCCCAAAACATGATATATTTTCTGAAAGCAGACACCCCACAGAATAAAATAGTGGCAGTTCCAACTTTTTATGTCACACAATACTACCGTAATGATTTATTACAACTACAAGCAGTAGAGAAAAATTGTAGAAAAATATTGCAGCAAAAGCTGGTTTTGTAATTTTATCTTTTAAGGGGCTTTTTTTTCTTATCTTATTGTGTTTGTTTGAAATTCTGCTGATTCTGTATATAGCCGTACAGAACAGATAGTGCACAGTCCTCAAGTGTTTATCTTCTGCTTTTCTGCTAGCAGGAAACAGGAACTATATTATAGAGAAAAGACGTAGCGTTTAATCATAGATGCAGCTACAAACTTATTAACACTGCTACCTACTGGCTGAAGAATATATCTCTACTGAATATTGATGTACAGTAGTTGTTGCCATTATGCTCTGTATTGTATTGTTTTATTTTCCCTTTCCCTTCCCTGTTCCTTATACCCTGCAGATACCCACTCTCTGAAGAGAGGGTTTTTTTTCCTTTTCTCAGACTCCATGGAAGTCATTTTGTTTTTAGGATGGGGGTGAGTGTAGTCACTCTGCCTTAAATAAAGCTGACTAGTACATATAGTTCTGCTGGGTGGTAATCCCAGGATACTTTGTAGTATCTCATTTGACTTTCTCCTACTTGACTTTATATTTCAATATTTTTATTGAGAAACAAGCATATTAAAACGTAAAACAAGATGGCAAACAATAAAAGAGAAAAAGAAAGGGCCCACCCACAAGGTGGAACAAGATTCAGAATCATAAGCATAACACTGGTAGGTAAATAAAAAAAATTAGCAGACAATAGCATTACAATTCACATAAAAAATGTCATAGCCATCAAAACATACAGGTTTCATAGATCAATAAACAAAAATTAAGTCAAAATGGACCAAAAATAACAGAGAAAAAAAAGTTTCAACAAATAGTAGAAAAAGAGAGGAAGAGAGAGATGAAAAGGAAAGTACTCTTAATTGAAAGAAAAAGAAAAAAAATATAAGAGGGGGGGGGTCAGCTGCCAGACACTCACGATACAGTAATATAAGTAATCCAAGGATCCCAAGTCCTCTCAAATCTGGACACATCATCAGAGACGATACTCGTCAGTTTATCATTAACCATTATCCAATTTAGTTTTTGTTTCACCCTATCCAGCGGGATCAAGGATTGCTTCCAACTCCTAGCTATGGTAATGCGAGCCGCCAATATGATATATAAAATTATTTAATCGATTTTTTGGGAACATCAGAGGGTAGTATATTAAACAAGGCCACTTCCGGCGATCTACGGATATTAATTCCTGTCACTGAGTAAAGAAAATTAAATATGCGGATCCAGAACCTACTCACGACTGGGCATTTCCACCAGACGTGGAACATGGTACCCTCTTTACCACAGCGTCGGAAACAGCCAGATGAAACGGAAGGATACATTATGGCTAGGCGAGCAGGAACCAAATACCACCGAAGTAGCGTTTTGTAATTAGATTCAACAAGATCAGTGTTAATCGAAATCTTCGATAGGGCATGGGCCGCCGTCCGCCAGGTATCCAAATCCAACGAACTATTTAAATCCCGTTCCCATAGAATCATGTAAGATAATTTAGTTAGGGGATCAACCAACAAAGCATAAACAATGGACAAGCGACCTCGCATCATCCCACTTGCCCCACAGGAGACCTCGAGGGAAGTAAGCGCACAAGGTTCTGTGATCCTACTTGACTTTAAAGAAATGTGGCTGTGTGGGGCTCCAGCAGCATCATTCATTCATGGTGTTCTGTGAATGAATGAGCTGTCAGCTTGTAGTTCTGAATGAATTACCAAGGAGCTGTGGAGCGCCATGATAGTTCATTGATTCTTCCTGTCAGTATATCAACATGCCTGTCCTTTAGACTTTAGAGGAGCCGGGTAGGGGGGTGGGCATGGCAGAGCAAGGGCGAGGGAGACAGTTAGACAGTGCTCGGGCAGGGGCGGGCTTGGCTGACCATCTCCTGTATGCTGTCCGCATTCTCCTGTATCCCATCCGCAGTCTCTGACCGTATCCCATCCGCAGTCTCTGACCGTATCCCGTTCGCAGTCTCTGACTGTATCCCATCCGCAGTCTCTGACTGTATCCCATCCGCAGTCTCTGACTGTATCCCGTCCACAGTCCCTGACCGTATCCCATTCGCAGTCTCTGACCGTATCCTATCCGCAGTCTCTGACTGTCTCCTGTATCCCGTCCGCAGTCTCTGACCGTATCCTGTCCCCAGTCCCTGACCGTCTCCTGTATCCCGTCTGCAGTCTCTGACCGTATCTGACATCCACTCACTGCACGTAGTTCTAAAGAGACAGTAACAAGTGCACCCACATACAGACGAGCCCCAACATTTGCTGGCTTAAATGTGAAAGTTAGGAGCCAGGTATTATATAAACACCTTCCAGGGTTAGCCCATTCAGGAACTCCTGCACATACATACATCCAGGAGTTTAACCACAGAATGCACTCTGGGACACTTTTTGATTGGTTATTGCATAGAGTTATCATGAGACTTTTTGTCAGGGATCTCCACTATCCCCGCAGCGATGGTCCCGGCGCAGGCGCAGTGCGCCGCCCTGTGCAGGGACTCGGGCACTAGGTCTGGGTCGGCCGCAGCGTTCGAGTTCGCGCATGCGCAGTAGAAGCCGCGGCCGCCCGCTGGGCACCAATGGCAGCGCAGGGCGGGATATTTAAATGGCCCTGAGCTGTCATTCAGTGCCTTCTGGTCTTACCTGCATCCTGTATCCTGCGAACCTGTACCTAGTAAGTTGTTTGACCCGGATTGTTCTTGATCTGCTGATTTCTCCTGCCCAGACCCTTGCTTTGCCTGACCTCTCTTCTGAATGCCCCTCATTAGATTTGACCTGCTGTTGCTGACCTGGCGTGTGACCCGACGATTCTCTGCCCGCTCCCTTGTACCATACCGTCCTCTATGTTACCGACTCGGCCTGTCTGACTTCGCACTTGCTCAGCCATCCATCCATCCCATCGGGGTCACCCGACCTCCTCATATCAGGCTCTCCCCTGTTGGAGCCCCTGGCGAACACCCCTACCACTGACGGGTGTGCTCAGTAGTGGCGACCTGGTCTCGGGGTACTCCAAGTCCATCCCCACCATCAGGGGCTCTGGTGAACAAGTACCCTGGGGCTTAGATTCCGCGCTCTGGGCACGCCTGACCAGTGGAGTGCTAGTGGTGCCGCTAGGCGGTCCCTCACAGTACCAGAAGGCCATGACTGAGCCTCGAGGAGGACCCTCCCCGATGGAGGAAGTTTGCAGACACCTGGCTACCCTGACACAAGCCGTGAACATGTTACAGGACAGATCTTTGCAGATTGAGAACCGGTTCCAGGTCTGCACCATATCTGTTCCTGTTTCACAAGCCCCGGCTCCTGCACCCCCGGCCGTAGCAGCCCATGAGCCAGCTCCCGGGCCTTCCGCATCACTCCCTGTGGCGGAACCCCGAGTACCCTTACCAGAGCGCTTCCACGGGGACCGCACACGCTTCCGGTCGTTCCGTGACTCCTGCCTGCTCTATTTTGAACTGCAACTACGGACCTTTCTGACAGAATCAGTGAAGGTGGAGTTTGTTATCTCCCTGTTGCAGGGTGAACCCCAAGACTGGGCCCACCGACTAAGGGGAAACAATGATCCACATCTTGTTTCGTTTGAGAATTTTTTTAACGCTATGGCCATCTTATACGATGATCCACAATGGGCAGCCTCGGCCGAGGCCACATTATACACACTCCGACAAGGTCGGCGAGCGGCAGAGGAATACGCCTCTGATTTTGGATGGGGGACACACACTGGAACGAGGTTGCACTTTTGCACCAGTTCCGTATGGGCCTGTCAGAGGCCCTGAAAGACGAGCTCGCCCGGGTTGAGGTGCCCGAGACATTAGAGGACTT